GAAACACCTTAGATGTGAAAAAAAAAGTGCAGCCAAAATAGGATTGAGTATGCAACTTAAAGGAATGAAATCAAAATTGGTGGCCAAACTGGTAGCTATACTTATGGCATTGATAAGAATTTTACAATAAATATTCATTCAGTAGTTAGCTAGACCACATTTTTTGTTCAACTTGGGGCACAGTGGTGTGTGGAAACAATTCTGGTCAAAATTGAGTGGTTTGTGTTGAATAACTTTGTACATTGTGTATTGTAGCTTATATTTAGTCCAAATTTGACACCTAATTGTGGGTTGTAAAGATCTGTCAGTATATCAAATTTTAAAAACATCCATAAAAGTTAAGTATGTTTTTCTATCCAATAAAGTTTCTGTAGTTTTGGTACAAAGAAAAAATAGAAAGAACTTCAATCAAAATTGGATATTTTATATCTTGTGTATTTCTGAATGGAATTCTTTGAAATTTGTCATGTGAGGTAGAGCACATACACTGAAAATATTGTATGTCTTGATTTTAATATATACTGTTGTAGATACATTTTGGGTGGTATTCTTCAGGTTTATGAATTTACTGTTCAGCTAGAGATATCTGAAGAAGGGCATTGCCAGAAACATTGTATATACAACAGTAGATATTAAGAAAATATGTGATTTAACCTACAATGTACTTCTCTATTAAAACTTGTCAGTATGTTAATAATTTATTTATCTCAGAAATAAAGTTTGTGTGAGTATTTGCAATAACTTGTTAGCAAAAGACACTGCATTTGTATGTTAATTCTTCTGTTGGTATCAAAATTTGGATAGAGTAATCTAAAATTCTGAAAGAAAAATTAAAATTACCAAATTGAAATTTCTATTTTTGCTTGTATATGCATTCTGTTTGCACTTTAATTTTCCAATTTACTAAAACAATATACTTTTATTATTATTATACATACTAACCCTATGGTTACAGGTCCCTTTTCTCCATATGTCGCAAAGTTTTACTGAGTTACATTCATAATTTAATTAAGTAACTTTACTATCAGTGTATGTAAGTGAAATTAGCATTATAATATTTGTTATAATTCAATGTTTTATATTCTCTATGTTTTAGTTCCTTTATTTCAAAAGAAACTTTTACAAAAAAAATCTTTAATCTTCAGTTTTGTTGTTTCATGATGAACAAGCATTTACAAGTCTTAGCTTTCAGTCTTTGTAACTTAACTAATTCTTCTTGTATGCTAGACCTTAATGTATAGACTGAAACCAGGTTAATTGCTCTGGTGTATTTAAGTGTTTTACACTCACAAAAAAAGAAACTTATCATTCTATAGGTATTTGAAGAACTTGTAGCATTCCGTCACAATTTAATTCTTCGTATTTTTAGCCGACACTAGGCAGCTTAAACTTTACTTTTTGTTAAACAAATGTTTAAACAACTCTGTTCAATTAGGTTAATTGCTCTGTTTACACATTCTTGGTAAATTTTGACAGAAGCCACACCCACTTTTTACATGTAATCAAACAATTTTGCACTCAACACTTTATTTCTCTAGATGTTTATAACCAATAGTTAGAGCTAATTTTACACTACAATTTTTCATTAGTTAGTTTCAAATTGGTGCACAGAAATCCATACAAGTTCTTGAATCTGGTCCAAGTATTGTTGCTCACCTATAAATGAGTTATATGGACAAGTAAATTGTATTTAGGTTTTAGTTTTATATTTTAAATGCATATTAGAAAGGTTTAATAATTTTTGAAAATAATAAACCAAACTGCCTCAGTTGATGAGGCCAAGTGTAGTAGGTGAGTGTCTCAACATTCTGAAGAAAACTAAAGTGTCTGCTGATGACACCATAATATTGTATAGGACGTCCATTAACGTGTGTCGTGATAAGTAATAATGCTAAGGAAAGGAAAATGAAACATTAAAAATAAACTATATGTGAAAATGTAAAAACATACAATTAAGAATATAACCAAAAGATCTTTTAAGATTATTTGACAAAAAATTAAAAAGTATGTAAATTTTTTTCTATTTCTTAATTTTAAACATTTCATTGCACAATATGTTGATGATAATTCTCGAAATATTCAAAGTCTGAGTGCGAATAACTACAGTACAAAAATAACAAACCTTTAGTTAAAAATACTTAATTAAAAGAATCTCATTCTTTGTGTACAATATAATTGTAATGTTTAATAAAATCTCACCAATTTTTGTGAAGACACACACTAGTTTGTTGATAACTGGATATCAAATTATGCAGTGATGGTGTTAGTTTACTACATAGAATTGATACAACTTAAATCTCTGTCAAATGATATTAGACATAACTAGTGTAGATATAAAATGTATGAGTCATCTTACATTGTAATTTTTTATATTTTCATAATTTATATAACAGGAATTACATGTGGGCTTCATAAGATGCCTTGTATATTCTTAGGAGGTGTTTGAGATCATGTATGCTAAAATGCCTGATGAACCAGCATCCTCAGAACCTTTATCTGTTTGCCAAACTGAAAAAGTTGAAGGAAACACTAGTAGCACAGGAAACACAAGTTCTGCATACTCTGGAAGTGAAAATGATGACAGTGAAGATGAACGGCAGCGAAAGATCAAACAGTTGCAGGAACAGGTAATTACATTTTCAAGTTAAAACCCTTTAACCCTCTCAAAATGAAATTGGCTGATATTGTGACCCCAAATTGTTCTTTATAGTTTCGATACTATAACTTCTGATATGTTTTGTGTATCTTCATGAAATTTAGTGAGCTTTCAGTAAACAATAAGTCTTATGTAGAGAGAAAAAAAAAAAAAAAGAATATTTAATGAAATATTTTCAATAAAAGTTTTTCCATGAATGTATAGACTGCTTTAAGTTAAAATTGATAATACATTTCTTCATCTGAAGCTTCTCATATTTCATTTGCATGATCTCTGAAACCTTCTAAATACATTTCAAATGTTTGTTTTCAGTAAAATTTTATATTTTGTTATTTTCTCTACCCTAACACTATACAAGGTTAGTCAGTTTGTAACCACCAAAAAACAAATCTAAATAAATCTATACTAATCCTTTTTGCATTCTAGAATGATTTCAACTTGTAACATGAAACTACATTTGTTTATCCTAAATAGCTTTAAACTTGTAATATTATACGTTTCTACTTAAGTTTTATTATTCTTATTCTTTATTTTACCTTATCCAACCAAAAAGTGTATAATCTTAGTTACTTTTATAATAATAAATAAAGAATATGCATGAAAAACAAGAAATATAGTACTTACCTGGATCTTTTGTTTTTGCTGTCGAGTGTCGATAAATCTTAACCCTACTTTTTTGTACTGTTGGTACTACTGCACTAAGTAACTTTTTATTTAATTAAATAATGCACCAAAGAACATATAATAATAATAATAATAACATGCAAAAAGCAGACAATGTCCTGTAGTTATCACAACTGTTCTGGCCTTCCAACTGTGCTAAAAGAGGTGTTAAAAAAAATCTGCTAAGCTCATTAATGTGTTTCCTGTAGGAATAAAGTTTGAACTGGAAGCAAAATAGACAATTCTTTTTACAGAAAACAACATAATACACGATTTGATAGGTTAAAACTTTGACTTTCTATTGGTTATAAGTAATATTACTTGGTTGGTGTGGCAAAAGGGTTCTGATTTTCTAGTTTATGGCTCTGTTACCAAATAAGATTGAAGTCTATAAAAACTATGCTTTGCCTGAGTGATGACAATATTATAATGAGTAATTTATGAGAAGGAGTGGTAAATGAATTAGAGAAGATACCTAGAAAACAAATGTCACAATACTCATACCAAGTGAATTTGAGGATTTTTTAATTATATATATATATGTGTGTGTGTGTGTGTGT